TCCGATTTCTCCAGCAGGACCACATCTTTCATCCCTGCTTTAGCCAGATGATAGGCCAGACTCACGCCAATACAGCCACCTCCAATTATCACTGTTTCTGCTCTGTCTTTCCATTTTGTTTGTGTAGATAAAGGTGGTTTTTCCTCTCTGGAAGAAATTTTTTTAAAAATAGTAACTTTACTCGGCTATGGTAACTATGGTTTTGGTCTGACTAACGTGCTTCCCCTTACTCGTTTCTCTGTACTTAACACCTAGTGACTGTGAGATTTGCATGGTGCTGATTTCATATTATAATTTGGAGCACCTAAACCCTGACTTAGGTAACCTGGTTAGGGGAGGGGGAGAGGACATTTGAGCCCCATTCCATATATGATTCTGGTCCACTCCAACTAATATAGCTAAAGAAATGAACAAGCAGCTTTTTTTTTTTCCAAAGAACCTAGAGAATAATTTTTCCTACCAAAAGAACACATATATAATCATTTTGTTCCATAAAGAAGCCATAATCATGAAGTTTAGCACCTATAATCTTGGATCACCACCTCCCACCAGTGCACTCCAGGCTGAAGAGAGGCAGACAAAATAAAATTATCTTCCTCACTTGCCTTCCTCTAATTGTGTACCTGCTTCTCTAATTGTAATTATTAATATTACTCAGTGGTTAATATGATTATTTGCATGACTGTCTTCCTACCTGCACTATGAGCTTCTTAAAGGCAGGGACAATGTGTTATTCATCACTGATCCCCGCCCTTGCGCAGCGCCCATCCCTAGTATGCGTGTGGAATGAATACATTTGATAATTGCCACGGCTTACTCTAGAACCTCTATTGACCATATTTTGCTACATAAATTCCCCAAAGAATGCAGTTCTAGGAGAGGCAGTGCTCATTAGCTGGGGGTTGTCAATTATTACTACAGGTTATACTTTTGATACATATATTTCATTCATCTATTCTTCCCTTATTTATCAAGAATTTCCTGAGTATTTCCTTTCATGAACAGGGCGCTATACTACAGAGCAATGATTAGCCAAAACAAACATTTCTACTCTCTGAAGTTTATAACATACTAGGGGGGAGAGAGAGCAGTCACATGAGAACACAAATGTGGAGATTACAACAATAAAAGTTGCTATGGAGGAATAAAGGATTCCATAACAGCATATATGCAGGAAGGCTCCTTACTTGAGGTCTGAAGGATGAGAAAGAAAGAAACAAGCAAGGTGAGGAAGGAAGACTATTCCAGGCTATGGGGACAAGTTAATGTGGCAGGAAAGCACTGAGAGAACACAGGGCACTGAAAAGCCACAGAAGCTATGGTGTGGAGATAAGGTCCCAAGTGAGCCCTGGGCTCTCTTTCGGTCTAGTGGTTCATTGCTGTATGTTGAGCACTTAAAACAATAGGTACTCAATAAATGCTGTTGAATACATTAATGAATAATAGGCTTTTTATTACCCGATTCTTACTATTTTCTTCTTTCCTAGTCACAAATCCTTTTTTTACGTTAACTTCCAACTTAGAGATTTCACAGTATGAATTACTAAGAATTCTGGACAGATTCCTCATATTTTACTCTGGTAACAGAAGAAATTGTAATTTTGAGGATGAGTTTTAAACTGAAAAAAAGACCAGATAGAAACTTTCCTTAGGATTGATACAATGATACTGATTATACCATCTGTTTTATTACCTTTATTTGGAAGGAGGTAATAAATTTAGCCGATGAACATAACATTGCTAAAGAGTCTTGATAGCTAAATTCTAATCTGCCTTCAACATTTATTTAGACTAGAGACTTATATTTCTCTTTATTGGTTTAACTGATTTGGGGAGTAACTTTCTATTTTTATATAATTTCAAACTTTCGGAAGAGTTGCAGCAACTGTACAATGAACTCTTAGAATACTTAGAAGGGAAATGATATCTGCAATTTACTCTCAAATATTTCAGAATATACACACACATAGTCTATATACAGTCATGCATCACATAATGACATTTTAGTCAACAACAGACCACATATGTGATGGTGGTCCCATAAGATTATAACAGCCACACCGTATAGCCTAGGTGTATAGTAGTCTATACTATCTAGGTTTGTCTAAGTAAATGTTTTCACAACAATGAACTCTCCTAATGATGCATTTCCCAGAACATATCCCTGTTGTTGAGCCATGCATGACTATGTGTACACATCCAGGCTATATGGTTCTAGGCTACAAATCTGTATGGCAAGTTACTGTGCATAATAGTATAGGCAACTGTAATACAATGGTAAGTATTTGTGTATCTAAACATAGAAAAGGTATAGTCAAAATGTGGTAGAAAA